TTTAAATTTACAAAATTTTTATAATTAATTTAAATTTCCACCCTCCTCCTCTGCTATTTATATTTTTGAGTGCACCCAACACCTCCTGAATTTTAAACCAACAAATATATTGAAAACATACTTAATTTTTTTTTCATTTACTACTTACCTTATGCTACATGAGTGAAATATTACAATATGATTTTCTAACAATACATGAAAACACTTAGTTTTCATAGAATGGGCAATTTATTCTAACCCCCAAAAAGAGTTCATTAAAGTTGGGAGTATAATTAATTGGTAAACTGTACAAGTTAAAATTGATAACCAAAGAATCTTACCAGAGAAATGCAGTTGATTGTGGAGTGATGAGAAAATTAGATGTTATAGATCTATAGATGTGTCAGGTGCCATAAAACAAAGTCGTTCAATGGCTGTTGATTTTGAATTAAGTTGCTGAAGGTTTTGTTGGGAAGAAATTCGCGATTGATTTATTCAAGTTGAAAGTTGAAAAGTTGTTAAGCAGGGAGTTGAGTGAGCTGGGCGGAGCGGACGGAATAAATAGGACGAACGAGAAGCGTTGAGCAACAATGAAGCTCCAACCCAAAACACCATTTCTCTACTTGGTAGTCTTTATATTTTCATGTCGGAGGTATTAAGGATGCATTTATCAGGAGTGGGATGAGCCGTAGCCTGCAAATTTTTGGAAAAAAATGTTTACAAATACTCCTTATTAATTTGAATTCAAAAACAACTTATACCTCCTGCATTTGGGTGTGCCTGAATACATAATAACTTCAACTGACAGAGTTCTACAGATAAAGCTAGAGCCAAATGATACATACAAATACATAACTTTCAAATATAATTTATCACATAAGATTCATTAATAAGAGTAATGGAAAACTGCCTTAATCAACACATGCTTCACATCAATGTAGTTGTAATGTTTGATATCTCAGTGTTCTGTACATTGTAACATATTAATTTGAACTATTAGCAATTTTGTCTAATTACAGGGAAGCATGTGAATTATATCAAACAGATAAATGAACATATTTTGGGTAAAATTTTTAGCAACAAAGATTGACAAGATAAAAGCAAATCAAAAAAACAAACCTTGAATACCGTCTTGGTCCTCTTCCTCCTCCCCCACCACCGCCACCGCCACGGCGACTGCGACCTGAAGACATTTCCACACGTATTCTTGTTCCGCAACATCGACTGAATATTAAGATATAAGTCACATGTGAAAACCTCAAAAATTCGTAAAGACATTTGTATGAATACACAAAATTAGATGCTTACGTTCCGTCTAAACCTCTGACTGAATCTTCAGCATCGCGAGGATCTTCAAATTCAACGAATGCAAAACCAGGTGGATTTCTGGCCACCCAGACGTTTCTCAGTGGACCATATTTACTAAAAGCGGCTTCTATTTCATGCTTTGAAGCATTACTCCCTAGATTTCCAACGTAAACTTTACACGATAAATCCCATTCTCGGTATCTGGACATCCTAATCTTTCTGAAATATAAATATATTTATAAGAGTTCCGAAATATGTGCTTATTCCATGAACAAAATAAATTTGGAAATTACTTCGAGCGCTATTTAGTGAAAAATCAAGAATGAAAGCTGCTGCATTCAATCACTACAGGCTTATCGAAATATTCAGGGCCCTCAACGTACTTGCCGGCACTCAAGCCTCGTCCGCCATATTCTTAATGTAAGGCTTCAAGTGATCTTTGCATTTTTAAACTTGTTTTGGACAGTAAGAATTTTAAGTATTTATTATGTCGTCAATGACAATAGATCAATTGAAAAAATCCTTAACGGAACAAGGAATTACACTTCCACCGTCGCGTTCAAAAAAAGCCGATTACATAAAATTGTATCAACAGTACAGCACGATAAACGACAGCCTCGGTGATGTTTATTCTAGCGATGACGAAAATCCTCCGAAGACCGGTAGCCAGAGCGTTACGAGTTCCACATCTCCGGGAAAATCCGATAATACTGCGAAAGAGGTAGAGTTACTCTCAGATGATGAACTGTATAATCAGCTGAAAGAATACGATACCAATATTGGACCTGTCTTAAAAAATACTCGACGAGTGTATGAGAAAAGATTGATTAAAATACTGAGTAGTAAGAAAGGATCCAGCAATTATGACGGAAATAATGGTACAGAAGATTCTAGACCGTCTCTTGAAGAGTTTTCCGATAGTGATGTTGAGATACTATCGACGTCGCCGAAGAAAAGTGAAATAAAGACGAAAAGGACCTCAGTTCCTCGGGATTCACCAAAACCCAGTTCACCTGGCAGTGTGAAACCCAACACTGAAAAATCATTTTTGTCAAATTATGATTTTGAGAACAGGAGTTCCCTCCCAAGTTATTCAAGTGACACAAAAACATCAAGATATAGTTATATAGAAACAATACCTAAAGGTTCAACATTTGGGTATGTTGAACAAAGTCAAGAAGGTGATTTAGGCTCTGACTTAAGACAGAGATTCACAGACAAATATAACACCAATAAGTCAACTTTAGACAACTACAGTTCAAGAAAATATACAAATAACTCTGATAGTGATGACATACATAAGGCCACCATTGATTCAGAAAGTTATAAACCAGGTCCAGCAAATCAATTATTCACCTTTGGCAAGGGAGGAGACAACAAATTTAAGACAACTTTTGGCACTCAATATAAGCCTACAGTAGGAATAAGTCATAAAAATAAACCAGGAAATAGAGAGTACATTGGGAGTTGGGAGCCAAATGTTAATAGATATTTGGGAACTGGAACACAAAAAAAAGTTGCCTCAAAAACAAATAAGTATTCAACATGGCTTAAAAATTTAATAGCAGGTATTAAATTTAACAGTGGTTTTTTGAAAGCATTAAATTTCACACTAACTAAACATTTTCTACTAATAATGAAAGGTAATTGCAATTAATTATTTTCTTTTTAGTTTTAGCTCTGTTGATGTTATTGTTGTTTGCAATCTATTTGTACCAACAATGGTCAACAACAGATCCATACAAAATGATTGAAGATGATGCTGAAAGAACAATTCAACAACTAAATCAAGGGTCAGGTGATGGTATTTAAGTTAATCCACAGAGGAAAAATGTTAACAAAGCCTCAAATATGATTCACATGTAGAACAAATTGTTTGAAAAACATTGGTAGTGAGATGATTTCAATTTGAACACAAAGTAACCTTATAAAAATTTTGAAGAATGCCAAGGACCTAATTACTCTTGCATAGCAATGGTGATTTTTGTATAAATAATGATAATTTTAAATGAGAGTACTATGTCTATCTTTTGAGAATGTGGCCATATGTACAGTTCAAACTATTTTAAACTAATGTTAGATCATTAGGTTTTATGCAATTAACATGGGAGCAGTGAACATCATTTTAAGTGTAACCAGTTTAAGTGATTTTATTATTCAGTGCTAATTGTATTATCTCATCTCTTGTTTTTTGTCTCTCATTTTAAATAAATTCTGGTGTTTAATATTTTCTGTTTGTTCAAACAATGTTTTATTTTCTGGTAAATGGATTTTTAAAATAGTGGGGGTACTTTTTTAAAAGTCCCTCTAATTGGGTTTCTTAGTACTTATATCTAAGGAATATTTTATTTAATAACTTTGAATAATTTAGGTAATACATAATTTACAATTCTTTAAATTAAATTTAAAACAATTTCACATTAGTATAAATTTTTTATGTTTATAAGGAAATGGATGTGGAGTACTTTTATTACTGTAATTATTTCTGCAACTCATTAAATATGTTTGCAAGAAAATGATTGTTTTTGTTTTATATTTCTTTTGAGTTTGCAAGTTTTTATAATGAGACACTGTTTTGTAATAGGTGACTGCAGCCTGATATATTTAGATTTGAGTATAAAAAAATAGTACTTCTTAATTAAGAAATAAGTGTAAAATTTTGTTACATTTCAATAAGTAAAATACAAGTAGTTTACAAATATTTATCATATTTTTATCATTGTTAATTTTATTAATTTTTTATACCTTCCTTTTCACAAGTTTTTATCTTAATGATAATGTACTAAACCAAAAGCACAACTTGAATACACTAATGTAAGTATTTCTTTGTGTCAAAGAAATAATTAAAAATCTGTCAAATTCAATTTTTACTTATTCTTTTATCTTAATGTGGTAGTTTAGGTAGAACTTCAATAAACAGGACAGATGTATTTGTACAAAATTTTATACACAAAAAATAGTTGTTTTCTTACTATTATGATGTTTTTTACAGAGGTTGTCGTAGCGAAATAATACTTTGTTTTTTGCGTAAGACGGTTTGCTATTAATTATTACTTACTGAAGGTATATAATAAATTAATGAGTAGAATAACGTAACGTTTAACGGCAAAAATATAGTAATGGCCCATGGGGGGATCGAACCCACGACCTTCGCGTTATTAGCACGACGCTCTAACCAACTGAGCTAATGGGCCAACCTTGTTGAGCTTATCGAATATATACTATTCAAAGTCATTTTTTAATGCCGAATACAAAAATGTGTTATAAATATCCCGAAGTTGGAATTTCAATTGAAGACTGCCGTGGGAAAATACATTTGCACAATGTACGGTAGCCCCAAATTTCCCGTATTATATACTGAGCTTCATTATTGAAATTCGGGCCTTACGAAGAATAATATTGTGCACACTTCACGGGATATTATTTTCCTAGGTTGTTAAGTTTCAAGCGAAATAAAAAATTTTACAAAAAAGTATCGTAACCATTTCACGTTTGCAGTAAGTAATGAAAATGAATGCTGAATAAAAAAGAAAGCCTAAAATGGCGTTTCGGGTAGAAATTCTACGTTTCAGAATTATTGCGTTGGGCCTTTCTTATAATTTTAAATAGATAAAGGTATAAGGGTAAGTTAACATGAACCAATTTTTTTGATTTTGGTAACAAATTATAGATAAATAATGTAATAAAACGAAAAACGGGAAAGAAAAAAGTTTTCCTTCGAGCCGGATTTGAACCAGCGACCTATGGATTACAGCATTGATAGTCCGTTCTACAGTCCACCGCTCTACCAACTGAGCTATCGAAGGGCTTTGTTACGGGGCACGAATTCTACTCATTTGTAATTATTTTCAGAATTCTAGTGCTCTGAAATGCAATTAATTTTTTGTTTGTATAAAAAATAATGAAAATGTTTTTCAATTAGTCTTAAATAGTTTGTTACGTACTGGTACTTTTGTATTAAAATTAATTATATATAAAATTAAATATATTATATTTAGTAGTACTACAAAATGGAGTATCAGTTCTCAATTAGAATTTATTTAAATATTGTACTTCTGTAGTTCTGTAATTCCTGAATGCTTTCCTTAATATCATCTAGTGCTCTATGTGTTTTTTTTTTATTTATTTCCACATTTGTGCCAAACCAATCAGTGGCAATGATTTTAATTGAAGATACATCTAAAATCCTATAATGCAAAGTACTAGCAACAGAAGGCATATACTTCTTTAAAAATAATAGATCTGTATGTACCGAATTTCCAGCCAAATAATTCCTACCTGAAATAATAATACAACTCAAATAAATGATATGTAGGAAATAAAAAAATGGACAAAAATTAATCTTGAAGTAAATGAACTAATATATAAAATAGAATAAATACCAGCTTTGCATGAATGTCCAAGGATATACTTGTAAACACGGGCTTCTGCTTCTGATAATGTAATATTACTGGCTTTACATGCTTCCACCAATCCACTCTAAAATGTAAATTACCTTCTGTTGTACTCAAATTGCTATTTAAGATTGCATAAAATATATATAAATGTCATGTTTTTACTTCAGTATGATGTTCCATACACCATTCATTCATGGAATCAAGAACTCTTTTTTCTTGATGTATTACCAAATTTATTCCAGCATCAAATGGTTTCATATCTGGTGTTGTGATCAAACAAGCTACCTCAAGTATTGTATCAGTATTTGGGTCGAGTCCCGTCATCTGAAATTAAAATGTTAATAAATTTTAATTCTGATTTACTTTTACTATTATTACTTTAATCATTTTAGTTGCACCTCTAAATCAATCCACACGTATTTATTCATTAGTCGCAGTGTTTTATACGAATTGGACCGCAGCTTCCGCCCTACAAATGGTAAAATATTTTTCAGCGTCATGTACGTTGAAAGTTTCCTAGACTTCAAAAGGAAATTCAAAAGGCAGGTAAGTTTCATAATTTTGTCGTGGCAGAAGATTTTCTTAAAATCTTGATTTCGCCACATGTCATTGTCTCGTTTGCAGCGTGACTTGTTTATGGAGTACCAAATAAATAATAATAGTAATAAATGTTGTTTATGAAAAGGATTTGATTGAATCATGGTTCGGAAGTTAAAGTTTCATGAGAAAAAGTTGCTAAAAAAGGTTGATTTCCTAGCATGGGAAGTTGACAACAATCTTCACGAAATTAAAATCATGAAAAGATTCCACATACAGAAACGAGAAGATTATACATTGTAGGAGAATGTTTTATTGAATTAACGTGTAAATGAAATAAATAACTGACTGAATTTTATAATTGTTTTAGGTATAACAAAATAGCCCGAGAAGTAAGAGATTTGGCTAGAAAAATTAAATTATTAAATGCAAAAGATCCATTTAGAATAGACTGTAGTGCCAAATTATTGGAGAAGTGTTATATCCTTGGATTAATTCCTTCAAAGTGGGATCTATCACTGTGTGACAAGGTGCATAATTTGATTGTTTAATTAATGTGAATTTTTTACAACATGTACAATTATCTTTTCTCCAAGGTGCCAGATCCTGACTGCATTTTTTCTGACATTTGACTGAATATTTCTGTACATTAATGTAATTTAATTTTCCTTGGTTAGATCACGGCAAGTAGTTTTTGTAGAAGACGACTACCTGTTATAATGGTTAAATCCAAAATGGTTGAAAACCTTAAAGCAGCAAATGAAATCATTGAGCAGGGGCATGTAAGAGTAGGACCAGAACTAGTTAAAGATCCTGCATTTTTAGTGACAAGGTAATCTTACATACTTTATTTCAATAGTTTGCACAATTCATTACCATTTATGTTGCATAAGATCTCTTTACAGCACACAAAATTTCAATAAGTAGTAATGAAGTGATAGAAATAGCTACTTCCATTACAATAATAATTATTATTTGCATTTTTGGTTGCAGGCATTTGGAAGACTTCATAACTTGGGTTGATACTTCAACTATCAGGAAACATATCCTTAATTATAATCAAGAGGTAATAAAGTTGTGTTTTTAATAAAACAGCATTTTTTTGTTCAGTTTTAAGAAATTTCATAAAATTATAAAAATATTCTTTTCAGAGAGATGACTATGCAATATGAAGATTACAAGACACTTCAATAATTGTGTATATCAGTATCTTCATTCTGTTTTATATTACAAAGTAAATAATTCACACAGTACAATAAAATTACACTTATGATTTGTCATTATTAAATGTATGGAATAGTAACTACTGTGTTTAAAAAATTTTCAAGCAAACAACAATTACTACTAATAGTTATTAAAAGTGTATAAGTAACAATAAATTATAAAATCATGAACTGTCAGTTATTGCAAACAAGGCTGAACATCAGATAAATCTCATGTTACCAGTCTCTTCCACAACCTAACCCAATCAAACAGGTTTTTCTGCTTACCTTAAATAGAATGTTCTGAAATTAATTATTGTCAAATAATTGCAATTAGGAATGGTGAGTTGTATTACTTTTTGCTGAACTGGAATGTGTAACTGAGTGTTACATTCTTGAAGTTGAATTTTGTTACATCTTGAATGCTGATTTTTAATATGTGTTTCTGCATTCATGTACAAACAATTCTTATTTGACAACAATTGGGAGAGGTATACATAAATTTAAGAGGAAGAAAAAATTAATTAAAAATAAATGAAAATGGAGATATATTTGAAAGATCCAACGGAACACTTCGAGAATGTCGAATCCTACAACCGGTTTTCAATTCTAATAAAGGTGACTTTAATTAATGTTGGAAGGAGAAAATAACTGTAATAATTCCTAAAATAAGAGCAAAGAGAGAGTGCACTTTTTTAACGAGTCTTTATCAGCTGGACTATATTGATGCACTTGGCAACACTGCGAAGCCGAGAAAAGAGCCGTGAAATAAACTTATAGATTGACATATTGTGATTTGAACGCCATGGTCCACTTCTAGGTTAGTCGAATGATTTTCTTCGTTGCCGACGGAGTTGCTTAACTGTAGGCTATTATAAGCCGAATAAGAATATAAAAATTTATCGGAAATAGAGTCGGAATAATTGCCCTAGCTGTTCTTTACTGTTTTTATCATCAATTCTACTTTGCAACTTGTATCAAGAGTTTTGAGTTAAGGAGTTTTCGGAAACTTCAATCGGCCACAACTATTGTGATCAGCGAAAAAGGAAAAATTCAGGGGTCGGCTTAAGCATTTCATTTCGTAAGAAATTGTGTTGGATTAAAGTTAAAATTTAAAACGTTTTAATCTTCGTGATTCGAAAATAAATGTAACACATTCAGGGTGTCAGTTGTAATGTTGAACTTGACATTTCATTTTAGGCACGTAATTTGTGACAAATTTTTTGTAAAGTAACATAGGATTATGGCATTCTCATTTGATACATCTGCAGCAAAAGAAAATTTGTGGAGAAATGAAACCATTTCTTATCCAAAAAGAAATTCCATTGATGGTGAGTGTTTAATTTTATTTTTTAAATTATGTTATACAGCTTGTGCTTCACTATGAAGTTATACAAAAGTTCAATATAATTAGCTTTTAGGATTGCAATGCATATAAGTTGAATGGTGGTCAAATTAATTAAATATAAATTTAACTGTAGATTTACTAGCTACAGATGTTGCAGAATTAGAATTATTGTATTTGAAAAACTGTGAAAAACTGTTCACATATATTTCATATACATTCAGATACATCCTTAAGACAAAAATTTAATGAAAGGTAGCAGACAATTCTTCTGAGTAAACCTAGGAGCAGTTGTTGTGAAAAAAAAAACCTCTTATTGGTCCTCCTGGATTGGTAGTCAATAATGTTTTAAAGTTTAGTAAATTGGAAAACCATAATATTAATTTTAATAAAATTTTTAAAACAATTAATGAACATTTTTCCTGAATGTTTTGAAAATTATAAACTGACACCTAAAGTAAAGAACAATAAAAATTGCGCTACTGTGTAACACTTTTGTCATTTGTCCTACTTCAATTATTAATGAAAGTATTTTTATGTTTTGTGTAGGTGAATGAAGTTCTCAAATGTAAATATATCAATTACAAAAAAATGTATATACCTAATACTTGCAGTGGATGAAAAAATTTGTACACATTTACCATAATTATAATTTTATGATAATTAATCAGGGCAATTAATATTCTTCACATGTTTGAACATAAATAAATGTTTATACATGTGTACATTATTGAAGAATGTGTTCCTATTACCAAAGAAGGAGTTGGGTGTAATTAAAAAGAAAAAAAATTCAAGAAAATAGTTGTGTAAGAATGACAATCAGTGCAACAAATAATTCCAAGTTTAATTGTAGCTCTGTTAGTTGAGTTGATTAATGCAGAAGTAAAACAATTTTTAAGTGCAATGCAATTTTTATAATAAAAAAACATTAATTGGAATGTTTTAAATGTATATATTCAATGTAATTTAGACATAGACAAGGTAATTGAATTATCATACGATACTTCAATTGAATTGCCCATAAAGCCTGTGAATCGGATCGAATAACATTCCTCAAGGTGAATAAGGGCCTACCGGCTACCCTATCAAAATTAATATACCAGGTGATTTTATTAAAGTTTATTGACCAAAGAAGTACTGAATTAAATTAAGCATCTCGGTCACGCCGTCTGAAAAATTGAATTTGCGACCTAATACGGTGGAGAGAGGAAATGAGAAATTGTGTTTCTTTCGATCAAGGTACGCAAAAGTGGACGAGAATGAACGGGGAAAACGATATCCTGCCTACGTCTTTTCAAAGAGCCCAAAATTTTCACAGAAGTAAT